GACAGGGGGGATGTGCAGCGGGGAGTAGGCAGATAGTGTGAGGTGCAGGGATAGAAACTGGTTTCCCTGTGTCAGCACAGAGGATATACCACTTCACACCCAAGGAGAGGATGTGGAACAAAGCAGAGAGAGCCAAAGAAATTCTTCACCAGTGACCCTGAATCCCAGTTTAGGGCCCAGGCATACAAGTAGGCATTATTCAGCAATCACTGTGAGTTCTCCCTACGGGCAAAAGACATGACTTAGAGGAGAGGAAAAGGATGGGCAACACAGTAACCTCTGACGACCTGCTCAAAGAATGAAAAGTCCAGTCAAGTATAAAAAAGCAAATCCAAGCCCAGCAACTTCAGAGCATTTGAAAAATCTACACAGAATTGCACAAAGAAATTATGTAAAAGCTAAGTCAAAAGGAAAAGAAGGAACACTCAGAATCAGGTAAAGTTCACTGGAAGGTGCTTTCAGCATGGATTAGAAATGGTCAGGGCCAGGTTGAGAATATCCAGCCAAACATGGAGTTAATTCCTTTAGTCTCAGGTCCTGGCACCAAGGTCACCTGCCCAGGCCATTGCTCTAGGACAATGACACCACCAAGAAATAGCCCTCTTGACCACTCATTGCTCCTGATCCAGGCTCTCTTCTAAGAAGCTGCGCAGATCCCCATCCCACCACGAGAGAACTAATTGGATAATAGAGTCTCCTGTGAACCCCCCACAGAATGGCAAGGGCCAGTGCACATAGGTTAGAGTCCAGAGAGAAGCAGCAAAGGACAGGGGCCACTTTCTGAGTGTGAGACTTGAGGCCAGTGGACATTTTCCCAAGGAAGACTAGGCCTGCTCTGAGCTTTCCCTGGAGCCAATTTAGAAACCTCTGGACGTCTTAGGTGGAGGCATTGTGGAAAACTTGGACCAGGCTCTCTTGCCTGAATGACTGTCCTCTTCTCCCTAACTCTTAATGCCAGGCTTGCTTGGATCTCAGCCTGGGCCCTTTTCTTTCCTCTCTCTGGAGGAACTCATCAGTTCCCATGGCTTTAAAAACCACTCTAACCATCCTTATGCTAATGACATCCAAATGTGATTCTCTAGCCCTGACAGGCCTCCCTTCTGAATCCACTCTCACATCTCCAGCTGTCATCTGGACATCTCATTCAGCTGCCTCGTGAGCAGCTCCAGCCTGTCTAAAGCAGAGCTCCTGAAGTTCTTCCCCACACCCATCCCACTCTCCTCCTCCCGCCTTGGCAAATGGCACCAACCACCCAACTGCTCACACTGGGATACTGGGCATCATGGTTGAATCCTCCTTTTTCCTTACCCACCTCCACCTCAATCCAATCCATTAATAAGTCCTATCATTTCTCCAACTCAGTCCCTGGTTTCTCTTCTTTATATACTTATCACAATTTAAAATTACTTTATTCATTTGTTTGTTTTCTTTTTTAATTTTTATTTTTTACTATTGGCATATTCATTATTATGAATTGTGATTTTTCTTTATGTCCTTTACCCGACCTGTTACTCCTCAACCACCTCCCCCCTTCTCCCCATCTCTAGTATCCTTGGGTTTGTTCTCTCCTTCTGTAAGTTCAACATACTGTTGCGGTCTTTTCTTTCTTCCTTCCATCCTCCCTCCTTCCCTTTTTTTCTTTCTTTCTTTCTTGCTCTTCTTCTTTCTTAGTACCCAGTTATGAGTGAGAACATGTGATATTTCTCTTTCCTTGTCTGGCTTATTTCACTTTATGTGATTTTCTCCAGACTCATCCACATTGCTGCAAATGGCAGAATTTCATTCCTTTTTATGGCTGAGTAGTATTCCATTGTGTATATACACCACATTTTCCTTGTCCCATTGCCCGTCAATGGACACTTAGGTTGGTTCCATATTTTTGTTGTTGTTGGGCTCCCTTAACTAAAATGAGAGTAGGGGCAATGCAACGTCTGAGTTTTGCTCACCAATTCATCTTCAGAATTTAGCCCAGTGCCAGACACAGAATAAACACTTTATGAATATTTATTGATGGGCTGGCGGGTTAGCTCCATTGGCTAGAACGTGGCGCTGACAACACCAAGGTCCAGGGTTTGATCTCTGTACTGGCCAAGCACCAAAAAAAAAAAAAAAAATTTTAAAGGACTGGCCAGTTAGCTCAGTTAGAGTGCAGTGTCACAACACCAAGGTTAAGTGTATGATCCCCATACTGGCCAGCTGCAAAAAAAAAAAAAATACTGGTTGAATGAAGGAAGGAAGGAATTCATTGATAAGGACTTTGTCTCAGGTGAAGTGGCTGCCCCATAATTGGTCTGGAATGTTCCCATAGTGCCAACCCTCTGAACTGGGCCAGGCACTGAGTCTCCCCACCTGTGTCTCCTACTCCTTTTCCACAGAGCAACAACAACCAGAAAAGGCACAGTTCTGCCCAGAAATGAGGCAACAGCTACAAAATCCCACTTTTTTCAAAAAGCCTTCCTGGGTCATCAGAGTGGAACTGGAAATTAGATTTCCATACCGAATCTCTTCAACCCCCAGTTACACGATTTTTTGTTCATGTAACTACCATTCCCCATCTCTGAAACAAACTCAGCTTTGGTCTAGGATGGAAACAGCTTTGCTGGCCTGGCAGGACTAAACATTCTATTCCACAGCCTGTGTGTTCTCTGGGTGTCCAGGAAGTGGGGCATACCTGGAGGGCAGCAACTATAGCCTCAGAGACAGTGTGAGGAAGTGGAGGGAGCTCTGGACTCAGCATACTTGGGTCCATTCCTAGCTCAGGCCTCACATGCTATAAGACCCTAAGTGAGTCACTCCACCTCTCTGAGCCTCAGTCTTCTCATTTACAAATGAAGGTCTTGGACTCCTTGCTCCTGAGTCCCTTCCAGCCTTGCCCTCTGGACAGCACTCCCATAGCCAACTCCCACTCTGTCAGGGTGGGGTGCAGGGCAGAGGCCAGGGTGACAGGGCTTTCATGGCTGGTGCACACATCTGGAGGCCAGAGTGCATGCAGACACTACTCATGTGCAGGGTGTTTTCTGAGGACTAATAGTTGTTTCCCAGGAAGGGGGGAACTCTGTGGGAAATGCTGGGATAAAGAAAGGTTTCCTTTGCTGCAGGACTTCTCAGAACCTCTAATAGGTGCTCAAAAGAGGGAAGATTTAATGGGCATGGGCATAGAACCCTTTATTTCAGAGTGTCTCAATGGACTGGTCTTGTGGGTCAGACTTTGAGATAGGCTGCTGTCAGGAAATCCCTGCAGCCTTGGCTTCTAGCAGCTCACATTTTCCCAGATGGGGAAAAAGCTTTCAGGATGTCCACTGGAGTGGATACCAGCACCAAGGGAAGAAACTCTCTGTCCGCTAAGGCCCTCTCCATTCCCCAAAATGAGAGAACACAGAGAGGAAAGAGATGTCTGCATGGCCCAGCCTCCCCTGCTAAGAACTGTGAAGCCACACCAGCCTCCTGCAGTGACTCCTCACCCTCCCCAGAGTGCTCAAAGAAAGAATGAACAACCAGATCTTGCCCATTTAGATCCCATACAGTGGACGGTGAGGACAAAGAGCCCTGGATTCAGAGTAGTAGTACTCCAGCTGCTCTGTAGACCACAGAGCCCATGTGGAAGAGGCAAGAGGCAGGGAGACCGGGGAGATGAGCAGAGAAGGCAGTCTAGTGGAAGAACAGTGTGGACAGAATACTCAGAGACCTGGTGAGGGATGCAGCGCATTTTACTGGTGACAGAACAGAAGGCCAGTGGGGGCTGCGTGTTACATACACCAGAACTGTGGTGACCACCCCACCCAGGAGTGGGCCCCAAGAGCAGCAGCAGGTGGCAGCTGAGCCACACCTGGACAATCGCAGGCACTGGCTGGAGCCGGAGTGAAGGGAGCCTGAAATTCCTGTGGTTGGGCTTGGCCAAGGATCTGGATGGAGGAGCCAGAGGCTCCCAGCCTTCCAGCCCCAACGAGCCGCCCCCTTGAGGGGCAGAGGGGACCGCGCTGGAGGCGTTGCTGATGCCAGGAGGGGAGGAGCCGGTGGGGAAGGAGACGCTGGGGCGGCTGCGATGCTGATGCACGTTCTTTATCTGGGGCAGCGCTGGGAGGACTGGGAGAGCTTGACGCTGCCGCCTGAGCTGAAGCCTCCGACACTGACTCCGCAGCGACCCCCGGAGCCGGAGCCAGAGCCAAAGCCGCTGCCGCTGCTGAAACCACTGCTGCCGCCGCCGAATCCGCTGCCGCCACCGAATCCAGTGCTGCCACCCCGGCCAAAGCCGCCGCCTGCACCGCCTCCCACGCCGAAGCCACCGCTGTAACCACCTCCGTAACCCCCTGCCGAGGCCGAAGTCGTGCTGCTGCTGTTCACCACGGCTGTAGGGGCAAAGGACAGGACAGCGATCAGCGCCCCTTCACTGTTATAATTCATTAATGACCCACTTTGCCCAGGATGATTCGGAGGTGGTCGAGGCAGCTCTGCACCTGATGGTCACTGTGAGCCGCTCTAATGTCAGAAGTTATTCATTCCCATAAACGCTAAGTCCTTGTGAACTATCTGATGGTTCCTTCTGCATATGGTCAACTCGGGATGTCCCCTGTGGAAGTTATCCAGCCTCTGAATTTCTCCTCCCTTCACCAGGCTCCCTATTGGATATTCCCCACTGGCTGTCATTAAAATGAGTAGATTGTAGCTGTTCTTGCCATAGGGGGGGAAATGGGCCACTAAGTGAGATGATGGATATGTTAATTTATTCCACTATAGTAACCATGTTACTATGTATATGTAACTTATAAACATCATGTTGTACACCTTAAATATACACAATAAAATTTAATTTTTCAAAGTGCCCCGAACCCATAACAATTACAAAAGCCAATTCACTGCCCCCTCCACTCCCAGCAAACCCCTCCAACCTCTATAGGAATATAATTTTTAATTAGTTGCTACTTCCCTGTATTAATACAGATGTTTGAGAATCAACTCTCATTGTCATGGTTACTTTGGCTACTTACAGATGCTGACAGCACTCTGGCACTCTCCAGACATCCTGTTGAGGAAGTAAGAGAAAGATGGCTCCGTCACAAAGCACATGTCCATCAAGTTCATGAATCAAAGAGGTGAATAGCAACCAGAACTGAACGCAGAAGCCCAGCAGGTCAGTAGGCTTTCTCTACCCTTCTGTGGGCCATAACAAAGAGACCCTACGAGCAAGGGTTGCACACATGCTTCTGCTGCCTGTGGACGGTGTGGGCTGGTAAAAGCGAGTGCTACTCTGCAAGGCCCATGGAAGGTGGGGCTTCTCTTATACAGCAGTCATCCATCCCCATTTACTTGGTCACTTGTCCAGCCCTCAGCATGTGACCTGGGTCAGGGGATGTGGGGAAAGGGAACTGGAGGCCCACCTGCATTCCTCGCCCTCCAGCAGCTTCCTGTAGGTGGCAATCTCCACATCCAGAGCCAGCTTGACATTCATCAGCTCTTGGTAGTCACGCAGCAGGCGGGCCAGGTCATCCTTGGCCTGCTGTAGGGCAGCCTTCAGCTCTTGGAGTTTGGCATTAGCATCCTTGAGTGCCATCTCCCCACGCTGCTCAGCTTCCGCGATGGCTGTCTGCAGGTTGCCATTCTGGAGCAGGGGGAGGTAGAAGGAATGAACCCAGTAAGAGGGACCCAGGCTGTCTGAGTCTTAGAATGAATTATCCCATCTTAAAGTCAGGGAACATCACCCCTCCCCAGCACCTCCATCTTGTCTCCATCCATGGAGATATTTCCCATGGATTAGTCAGCCATCTAGACTGGCTTGGTCTTTGAACTCCCCGGAGGCCAGTGCTACCTGAGATGACCTCCAAAAGTCCACTCCAGGCTAGGAGTCCTGAGATCCTGTTTCTCACCCCTCATCGGTTAGCCCAGGTGCCAGCATCCATGGCCATCCCACCTGCTTCTTGACATTCTCAATCTCAGCCCGCAGCCTCTGGATCATTCTGTTGAGCTCCGTGATCTCACTCTTGGTACTCCTCAGGTCATCCCCATGTCTGCCGGCTGTGGTCTGCAGCTCTCCCAACTAGAGAACAGAAGGGAAGATGGGGTGTTAATGCAGCTTTGCCTGACTTGTTCCTATACCACCAACATTGCCCACCAAACCTTGAGACGTTTAGTAAGAATTTGTTAAAATGACATTGAATTGTGTTTCAATAGGGATACCTCCAAGGCAACAGGGAAGAGAACATCAGGGTTGTTGTAGAAAATTCTTCCACCCTGCAGTCCCTGGCAAGCTAGAATAAGTCCTACATGGCCTGACCGGGGACAGTGCAACCACCTCTCCCCAGGGGGCAGGACTTTCTGCAACTGAACAACCTTTAGAGGGATGGCTCCAGAGAGTAGAAACAAGAGGGGTCCACATGGTGACCACTGGAAACTCACCGCCCAGTAGTCCCACAAGCCACAGCCTCCCTGAGACCCTCAATGGATCCTCTGAGAGTTACCTAGCACCCACCTTGGTCTGGTACAGTGCCTCAGCCTCGGCCTTGCTCCTCTGGGCGATATCCTCATACTGGGCCTTGACCTCAGCAATGATGCTGTCCAGGTCCAGGTTGCGGTTGTTGTCCATGGACAGCACCACAGATGTGTCGCTTATGTGGCTCTGCATCTGGGACAGCTCCTGCCAACACAGTGGGAGCTTGTTCACTTCCAGGGTCTCTGCAGCAAGCACCCAGAGGCCTGGAGAGACTCCTGATCAACAGTCCCATTCACTGACTCTTAGCTCTAAATGTGCATCTGCCCCACCCTGCCCCCAGCCACTGAGAGAACCCTATGAATGCAGCCCATCCTGCAGAGCCCCTCCCAAGGGGCCTTATCTCTAGGCTCATCTCAGGTAGTCATCTAGGGCCTAGATACCAAAATATCCAGCCTCAAATCTGAAAGCATTCCACCTTCTCTCAGTCCCCCCTCTTAGTAGGTAACACCCTCACCGCATCATAGAGGGTCCGCATGAAGTTGATCTCATCCATCAGGGTGTCCACCCTGGCCTGAAGCTCCACCTTGTTCATGTAGGCAGCATCCACATCCTGAGAAAGACAGGAGCATAAAGTCCTTATTCCTCCAGAGAACAAACAGCAAACTGCAACTGCAGCAGGACAGCATCGGGGGAACCAGTGCTGGTGACTGTCCTTGTCCAAGGCTGGTTTTCACATGAAGGGGTGATTTGCATCTCATTGGGATGGGGTAAATTCATTCCTACTCCAAAGCTAAAGGCCAATGAACTGACTCTCTTAGGGCTCTTCCAGACTAAGATGTACCTGCCTTCTGTTTATTGCTCTAACAGCCTGAACCTAGCAGCTCTGCAGCAGTAGAGTAAGAGGATTCCCCCAACCGAGCTGAAAACCTGTGGTGACAAGCCCCAGGCACCTCACACAAAGCCCTTACCTTCTTCAGGGTCACAAATTCATTCTCAGCAGCTGTACGTTTATTGATTTCATCCTCATATCTGTGAGAGTTAAGAAATGGTTTTGAGGTCGCCATAAACACCACTGTTCTCGGAAACCCTAAAAGTTCATCTCTTCCACACCTCTGTCCTATCCCACCCCTCTAGATGATCACATCCTCTTTACTCTCTTCTTATTAATTAGGGGAAACAACCATCTCAATTTGCCCAGGCAAACTGTCCTGGTTTTAGCAATAAAAGTCCTGTATCAGGGGAAACCTCTCAATCCTTCTGTCCTATCCCACCCCTCTAGATGATCACATCCTCTTTACTCTCTTCTTATTAATTAGGGGAAACAACCATCTCAATTTTCCCAGGCAAACTGTCCTGGTTTTAGCAATAAAAGTCCTGTATCAGGGGAAACCTCTCAATCCCAGGCAAACCTCCAGGACAGTTGGTCACTGTACCTTGAGAGTTGCCCCAGAATCTTTCAGATCCTAGAACCAGGATATTCCCCAACCTGGCTCATGAGGGTCTGTTTCCTCAATTCTGAACTCATCCTTTTTGCCACAATTGGAGAAGGAACATGATGGGGGAAATTAATGAACTAAGTCCTCCATGAAAGTAAGGACAGGGAAAAAAGCTAGGTGACACCACTGCCCAGCAGACAGGAAGAATGCAGAAAGGGCCAGGACACTGAGACATGGTGGCCCATGGCATCTTCCCACTCCTGCCCTGCCACTCACTTCCTCTTGAAGTCCTCCACCAGGTCCTGCATGTTCCTCAGCTCTGAGTCCAGGCGGCCTCTCTCTCCAAGGATGCTGTCCAGGTAGCTCCGTAGGTGGTTGATGTGGTTCTCAAAAAGAGGCTCAAGGTTGTTGGTGCCTGTGATGGAATTTGTGCCCTGCTGCTGAAGCAGGTTCCACTTGGTCTCCAGGACCTTGTTCTGTTGCTCCAGGAATCGCACCTGCGAGGCAGTGGGGGAAGCAACACCAGGGAGCCCTTGTAGCAGAGGAGCGGAAGTGCCTTCGTGCAGATAGGACTGGTGTCTATCTCCTAGTCCCCCTGCACAAAGGCCTAGAAAGGTTATGAAGACAGGCTCCTGCTGTAACTGGAAAGATTATAGTCAGACAGTTCATCTGTCAGGGCATTAAAGATGCAGCATGGTTTGGAAAGTTGCAAAAGGAGGAGAGATGGACAGGAGAAATTGGAAGTCGCCCCTGCCTGGAAGCAGGAGAATTGTAAAGTTGACCCGTTAGTGTTCCTGGGGACTTCATGACTTCGCCCTAACTTCCAAACCTGCAGTATACTCTGCAAAAATGTACATAAACATCAGCAGCGTCATTTCCACCTAACACTCCCCTGACACTCCAGCCCTTCAAAGGCTGTAAATCATGGGGAACTGACATGTCGTAGTCAACATGACAACACTTGTCCAGGGTCTGGAGGGGGGACAGCCCCTGTGAGCTGTCCTGGTCGGGAGAAGGTCGCCAAGCACCCCTCTTCCTGACTATGTTGATTAGTGGTACAAAGTAAGTTGCCTTCTCCACAGCCCCTTGGGATAAGGTTCCACTTATGCCTCTTAATCTCTTTTCCAGGGCATCTTTGCCTGACACAGCAACATGTAGGCAAAAGGGCCTCCTGGAAAGCCTCAGAGGACAGCTCATGTTTGAAAGGCAACAAGTGGGAGGTTCAGACAAGCAGAACTTGGTAACCTGTGGGTCCAAATAGGGAATCACTGTCTTTCCACACCCCTGTCATTTAACCATGTGGACAAACTCATTGGCCCTGAAAAACTTCCAGTCCCTAGCATTCTGCCTAACTCCTCTCCCTCCAGTCTGGTCCATCCAAATTCAAAGTCCCCAGCCTAGGAATGGGGGCCCAGTCAGAGCTTCATTACCTTGTCGATGAAGGAAGCAAACTTGTTGTTGAGTGTCTTGATCTGCTCCCTCTCCTGGGCCTTTACTTGCCCAATCTGGGGGTCGATCTCCACATTGAGAGGCTGCAGGAGGCTCTGATTGACAGTCACTTCCTGGATTCCCCCAGGGAAGCCACCAGGACCAAAACCACCAGGGCCAAATCCACCAAGCCCACCAAAGCTACCAGCCCCTCCAAAGCCACCAGCTCCCCCAAAGCCACCAGCTCCCCCAAAGCCACCTCCCATTCCTCTGCCACCACCAAAGCTACCACCAAAGCCACCTCCATAGCCACCACCAAAGCCACCTCCATAGCTGCCCCCAAAGCCACTGCCACAGCTGCTACGCCCTCCACCAAGGCCTCCAGCTGCCACGCTGATGGAGATGCTCTTGTTGCCACCCAGGTTGTAGAGGCTGCGACTGCCAAAGCCACCTGCCCCACTCCGGAACCCACAGGCCCCTCCACTGGCTCCCCCAGAGCGGGCCACACAGCTCATCCTGCTGTTGCCAGAGACCACAGCAGAGCGGCCGGAGAAGCCCTGGCTCCCGCCACCAGATGTCTTGCAGACTTGTCTGTTCATGGTGAGGAGCCTGATGAAGAGAAAAGTGTAGAGTTGAGCAGGACACTGAGAGTCGAGGAAGAGGAGAGGGAACTGAAGACCTGTGCAGAATAAATCCCTTTATATACATTCGAGGAGGTTGCTGGGCTCTAGCGAAGGAGAAATAATTATCCCAAATATTCATGGGTTGGGTTTGCCTCCAAGGCAATAAGTTTGTTCCAGGCTACCAAACACACCTTGAAAATAATCTGAAATGGTAAAAGTGCTAAGGTGGCAGGCTTACCTGGCAGGGGGTGGTGCCTGGCATTGCCCCATACTTGGGTATGGCCACCTCCTAGCTTTGTCTGACAGGATCCAGGAGGCACATTGACCTGCATCAAGTACTCAGCAGCGTCTGTCTGCCTGTCAGCTGCCCCTGAGCTCAGCTCTGCAAAGAATGGAGTGGAAGGGGATGGGGGGAGGCTCTGGCTCTCTAAGTGGTAGAGACAGGAAAGCCACCCACAACTCTAAGAAAGCATGCCAACAGAAGGGGTGACACAATTCATTCCACAGTCAGCACATGGTTATTACATGTGCACTGTGTGCCTGGCTCTGTGCTGGGCTTGGGGACAGTAATGACCTCTTTCTTCCTTCCTGGAAGCAAAGCCCAGAACTATCACAAAGCTGCCTCCTGGGTTCTCCCTCTATCCCACAGTTTGGTTCAGGAGGCATTGACTTTTTGGTTTAAGACCATCTTCTGAGAAAAGTGAAGTTAACACCTGTGCACGTTGATCAGACACTGGCAAAATCCAGCATGCCAAATGTTTGTTTTGAAAATGTCCCAGGGAAACTACACACTATTACACACCTTAAGCTTCTCTGAAGCTCCCTTTCTTGCTCCCCACATTTTGGCATTTCTCTGGTCTTAGCCCAAGTTCCAGGAAGCAGGAAACTCAAACATCAATTCAATAGCAAATTCAACAAATGTTTACAGATTGCCTAGCATGTGCCAGGCATGCATGAGGCCCTGGTGACCCATCCTGAAGAAGACTTGTGAGCCCCTGCAGAACCATTCTCTGGTTGAGGGGGTGTACTCCTGAGACCTCTCCCCGCCCCCGCCAGCCCCAGGAGGCCAGATCTGGCAGAGCCACCAGCACTACTGAACACCTCTGACTCTGAAAGCCAGAGAATCTTCCAGTCTCGTGTTTTTCAGAGGCTTAGGCACTGGGCTTGGTTTGTCCAAGAGCCGTCCTGCACAGTTCTGGAGCCTGCCAAGTTAGCTGCTTATCTCTCCAGGACAGGTCTTTTTTTTGTTCTGTCTGCTGCACGTTAGGCCCTGCCAAGGGTGTGTCCTATATGGCCTTGGCAGGAGCCTCCTCAGAATTGGGAGAAAGGAGGAAAAAAACAGGGACTTCAGTGCTCACTGGACAAGGCTGAGTGGCCCAAGTGCAAAGGAAGTGAAATTTTCTTCAGAGTCCTCTCTCCCATGTGTCACCCCCAGGCAATACATCATCCTAGCCCCTCCCTCAGGATAAAACCATGAACTTTCCAGGAGCTTACAGCCTTGTTAATATACTGGATTCCTCGGTTCTTAGCACAGTGTTTTGCCAATAATACGAGGGTACTTCAAATAGTTCCTGGAAAAATGAAATTAAAGGATAACATGAATCTTTCCAGGAACTTTTTGAAGTACCCTCATAAATGCTCATAAAGTTTGGTTGGTTAAATGAATGAGTCAGTCAATGAATTGTTAATGAATTTATTAATTAATTAAGCCCTTATACTGAATTGCAGCCAGATAAAATTAGTTGAAAGTTGGTTCATCTGCCATTACATGAGCCCAAGCTAACTGAGATCATCTTAATATGAGGAATCCAGACTTTTCAAAATTTGGTATTCAGATTTAGGAAAATGTACATGCAAAATGAGTGTCACCTCCTCCTGAGTGGAAAAAAATGTGGAAGCACAGAATCAAGAACCACTCAACCAAGAATCAATCAATCACAGGATCAAGTTGAAGTTGGCAGGACATTTGAGGTCACATAATCTGCCCCCTGTCCATTGCTGGGATCCCTTCTCCAGCACGTCTGACTTATCTCCCTGATCTTCCACCAGTGCTGCCCAAGGCTGAATGGGACGTGAAGTTAGCCAAGCCCAGACGGTAGCTGCACACAGGACCCTGTCCTCGCTGCTCCCTCTGAGGAAATGAGCTAAACCCAGGCTGGACCAGACCCTCCCATGACTAACCATGACCAAGACTGTTTAAATTCTCTGTTTCAGCATCATTAACTGTTAAAGATCATCAATCCTCTCTGCCCCTCTGGCTCTCACAGGAACAGAGTTAGATGAATGAAATCCCTGTCAGTCTTTCAAGAAATACATCACAAAAAGTAGGCCATATTTTTTCTTTTAATATTTAAGGGGACAGGATGGAGGGCCAGCCTTTATGCCCGATAGAAATGAGGCTGCTGTGGGGCCAGGTGTGGGATCTAAAGTCCAGGTCTCTAAGAATTCTTAAACCCATAATGAATCAGGCTGGGAAATCCCAGCCATGGCCAGAGCCCACTGACGCTGAACCATGCTTGTCGTTCCTTTACATAGAATTAACTTGGAGAAGAATCTTTGAGAAGCAAAGTCGCAGCCACCATTGTCATCAGCTAGTCCCAGGTCTGGGACCTCCCCAGTAGACGGTGGAAGGAGTGGGAAGAAGAATGTAATCTATATGTATTCATATACAAGGAGATGTGGCTGCTCCTGGAGGGGACAGGGAGCAAAACAAAGACTGGGGAGTATATTAGCAGGGCTCGAATGTCAGTTCTGATCCGTCGTGAGTGAAGGAAGTGATGGAAGGGGAGGAGACAGTGAGCTGAAATTCCTGGTGGTTGGGCCCAGCCCTCTGAACTTAGGGTACCTGATAAATATTTTGAGAAAACAGAGTTGGCTTATACTCACCCCCAAAGCCTGGGTTATCTGAAGTTTATTAACTAAGTGTCCTAAGTACTTTCTCCCCCAGAAAAGAGTGAATCACTGGATTACAATGTATAAAATCAGATACTCACAGGGCGCTGCAGCCAGGAGGCTATCCAGTCCACTCCTCCACCTCGAGGCAGACACCCACCTGGCCTCTCCTGCTCTTTGAGATCTCCCTGAAGGTGATTCATCAAATCCCCTGGCTTGCCCAGACCAGCAAGTCACCACCATAACCCAAGGAAGGTCTTCGAGGACCTAGCCTTAATGCCTTCTGCTCCATCTAGTGGGAGTCTGCCTCCTCTTCGTGTGATCAGAGAAGACAGGGTTGGCAGGACCCTCACCTGCTCGGCCACCATCACCATGATGCCCATACCAGCCTGGGTCTGAAAGCCCCTTCTAACAGAAAAAAAAGTTGTACTGACCTTCATACATGTCAAAACATACTTCGAATATCCTTTAAGAACATACATTTTTACTATGAATTCAACAATACTTTTAAATAAAATTGCATTTTATAATCACATGCATTTGGTAATGACAATACATGTACGTATGCATTCAATCTACATCCACTTGTACATGTGGGTTCTCAGCACGCTTGCAGTAACACAATGACAACCCTAACTGCGGCCTGTCATATTTGAGCCTCAGGTCTCAAATTCCTGCCATCTGGCCTCTTCCCTTGCTGGACAGCACTGTCCTTTAGAGAGGGCTCCTGTCGCCAGCTGAGGTTCCCTGATGGATCATGACCCTCTGAGTCCCCATCTGTCTTCCTTGCCTTTGTGTCCATCAGCCCTGGCAGACTCTCAAAGGATGTGCACTGAATTGAAATGAATTTGCTCTTGTCTGGCCTTCCAGAGTAATACACACAAACTTCCCTGGCTTCTATATGACAGGGTTGTATTAGTATTTACAATATTAGAAAATACTATTGAATTCCCAGACATTGTTTTCCAAGTTAGATATACCCAGCTGTTTCTCCCAGTCCTCAGTACATATGGTTTCCAGGACTCTTCTCGAACCCACTCCAATTTGTTAATATACCTCTTAAAATTACACTGCCTAGCTAAGATAAAATACTCAAAGGTGATTTAATGTGTGCCAAAACGAGTAGGAATCCCCTACTCTCTGTGGTGGGGACACGGCTTCTTTCAACACAGGTTAAGATTCTGTCTCCTTCTTTAATAGTTGGCTCATATCAATCTTGCCTGGGGTGATGGTAAGACATGGGCTTTGAAGTCAGGCAGGCCTGGGTTTGAATCCTGTATGATCGTGGGCAAGTTACTTAACTTCTCCAAGCCTAAGCTTCCCCATCTGTAAAATGGAGCTAATAGGTTAATCTTCCATAGCTCTTGTGAGAATTGAATTAAATAACGTTTGGTAAATCCAAGAAAAGTGCCTAGACATAGTTAGCACTCAGAAAACATTAGCTCTTATTTTGTATCTGTCTTTTGTGACACTTTGAAATGTGCTTCTTCTGTCCTAACTTCAGAAAAGGGCCTCTTCTATTGCTCTGGGAAAACTTCAGGTAAATGCAATGAATTAATTGCTCCTGTGACAACCCAAACACCCCATTTTCTTCATATTTGTTACTTAAGGTCCTTCTTCTTCCACAGATGCAAAGCATCGGACCCGATCTGCTTGCCCTGCCTCTCTCCTTCTATGCAATAAATACTTATTGAGCATCGCTTACCAAACACTGTTCTAGGCCTCAGGAATGCAGTAGTGGACAAAACAGATGAAGCCTCTGCTCTTGTAGCTCACATGCCCATAGGGGACAGACAATAAAAAAATAGCCACGTGATGTGCCAGGCAGAGAGATGCCATGAAAGAAGTGCAGCAAGAAAAGGGAGGCAGCATGACAAAGGGGTTTTCTTTCATAGAGAGTGGTCTAAGTGGGTCCAAGCAGATATCTGAGTACAGCAGGGGAGCGAGGCATGCAGACACAGTCAGATGAAGGGTGTTCCAGGCAGAGGGAACCACAAGTGCAAAGGCCCTGAGGCAGGCGTGTGGGAGTGTCTGAGGAACAGCAAGGGCCAGTGTGGCTGAAGCACAGGGAGGGAGGCAGGGAG